ATTCCGTGTGCATTAAAAATATTGGAATTTTCAATCCATACCTTTAATCTTGACGCCTTATGCTCAGTGCTGACTTTGACTTCAGCTTTCAGGTGCTCTTCAGAAGATATGAAAACCGACAAATTTCGTCCCTTTTTTCTAATGTTATTCCTGTTTCGAGCTTTGTGGCGATTAGGCGTGGTAAAGCGCCAAAGATCGCTATAAAAGCGACGCATATGTATGTATTCCTGTTTCGATGTTCGTAACCTCCCTCTCCTTTTCCCCCCTTCTCACCCTCCCTCCCTCTCACCTCCTTTCTAAAAAAAGTCATTGCCATTTTGGCGCCCCCCCTGAAGTGGCGCCCGGGGCACGTGCACCCACTTGCCCCCCCCTAGATCCGGCCCTGTGAGAAGGAGGCGGCAAAATACAGGCGGCCCATGGTCGGCAAGTTGGTGAATCCGGCCCTGCCCGAGTGTTGTTTAACGAATTAAGAAATTGACGGTGAAATTACCAGACCACGGATCTCGGTTTGCGACTTTGTAGACTTCCTGTCATACCTTATTTTTTAAATTGAAACCTACGCAACGTCAACTCCTTAGAATTTCTACGTTTTTTCTTCTCTGTGCAAAAAAACCGTGTAAAAATATCATGAAATGATATGGATTTGCTCTCCTTCAAAAATATAAAACGGGAGCTGCGGATATGTTTAAACATAGCAAGCGAGATCGTGGTCAGGTAGTTTCACCGTCGAAATGATATTACTTATTTTGAAGGTTACATATAACAACTTTAATCGATTTTTTTCTCCTTTTTTTTCTGGGGAACAATTTTATCACAAATTTAATGTTACTCGGAGAGTAAAGACTATTTGTTGACACTATGGTCAAGCAATTGTTGAGCTGAAAAAATAAATAATGAATCAATGGCTGTAGTAAAAAATGCACTCTTCCCGTTGAAATTTTTGCGCAGAAAAAAATTCAAGCTATATTTTTAAGGCTCTCCTACTTGCGTATCTTTCCTGAGAACAGTCTGCCGTAATTCAAAAGGGGAGGTGCGGTGTTGTCTTGCGAGGACCTTACAAGGAGGAGGGAGGGGGGGGGGTTGTCTTGAAGTCTGTCCAATGTGCTCTGCCTCATATACTGGAACAGCCCTTTAAGTATTTGGTAAGTAATATTAAGTACATCTAACGAGGAACGGGTGAGAGAGGGGTATTTTCATCTCATAAAATGAAGAGATCTTGATTTTAATCTGGGATCATTCGCGCGTTATTGTTCTGATGCTTCGTGTCTTGTGGAGAGGCCAATGCATGAAACGAAATTTAAAGAGCGAAATGAGATGGATACGGGGAAGTGCGAAGAGCTTTGTCATCAAGGCTGAGAAGCACAAATATGGTATTGATCATCATCGTCAAGGATTCCTTTCTGTTCTTTGTCTTATTAGAATATTATTCCCCCTCTTGCAAATTTCAGATTGTGCGTTTATAATTCGGATTGTCAACTTAAGGATTGACGTTCAAATTACGTATGCCTGTGGTCCGTATTTCAGGAGAAGGCAGGAGAAACTTTAGTCTGAACGTGCAGGATAGAGAGGTAAGTGAAATTCAAAATCAGAACCAGATTGCGAAATCTATCTCGATCAGTTCTGAATCCAGCAAAATTTGGCATCGGTGTTGGCCTTTTGTAGCTAAATTTTATCAACAGAGGGCGCTCTCTGCTTTTGCTAATCAAAGACTGAAGGTGTCTGCCACGTTAAACATCCAGTTGCGTCACCAAGAACACAGTTTAGAAGGTTTGCGTTGTCAGATTGACTAATGCCATACGGATTATGTTACATTTTCTGGCTTTCTTTAACATGTTATGGAAGTCTATGTCTTAATATATTTATCATACTTTGGTTTTAAGTTCTTGAGGGATTCCGCGTGCCCAAAAAACCAAATTACAAATTCTGATTTTAGCAAACTGACAACGTTGATGACGTCATTCGATACAAAACTCGAAGTGAGCACTACCTCCATCTTTTACCTACGTCAGTCAGCTGTCGCGTAGCTGTTGTAAACTCCATCTTGCGTAGTTGCGTCAGCTCTGCTGCAATTTTAACTAAAATTTTAGCGACCACTCAATAATTTCAGTGTTTTTTCTCTCAGATCGTGATCATAAGTGTCAATATGCGAAAATATATATTCTAAAACAAAGTTTCAAACCGCAGTTTCATGGTAAATAATATGTTTCTGAAGTGTGTGTTGTGTTTATATCATGATGTTGCAGCTTCTGTTTTCCGGATTTCTGAAAGCAAGTGAAAGTGCGAAACAAAGAGTTCGCCACTCACTTCTTATGAAATGCTCATTTTAACTATCAGGAGTTTGACTTTAATCCTGTCCCATTATTTACGCCAGTTGTAATTGGTAGCCAACATCATAATTCGCCTACAGTTGTCTTTGGTTCTTGTTGCAAGTTTGTTTATTCTGTTGTGAGTTTGTCTCCTTGATCTTGCCGTTCACAATGATGATGACTTTTGCTGTCATCTAAACAGGCGGGTGCCCTCTACTTCACACAATTCTCTAATTATCTAACGTGGTGTTCATCCATCTTTTTATTAGACAATATAAGGATTTTGGAGAGGGCCGCCGTCAGGTTGTCAGCACATAGGTTGTCTTGAAAATACCTCTGCTCATTGCGTTCTCCTGTATGCACTCATTCTCAACTCGCATTGCTTTCTATTTCATTTAAAAATCTCCCTTATATTGCAGATAATTCATATTTGGTAATCTACAGAGTACAGGAAGATGCTATGAAAGATGTAAACCAACTGTATGGTCACAAACACTAACCTATACCCACTTTTACTCCGAATGAGTAATTGCGTATCTTCTCTCCATGTTTTCACTACCAAGGAAACGAGTAATAATTTGAAATTCTCAGTATAAGTGCACTTGAGTTTACATGCACCTTCTTGCAATTATCGCAAGGTGTAACCTTGATTTCAGGTGCGTCATCTGTATCAACCTGCTCATTACTTAGGTTATGTTCCCTCAGTTAAGTACGAATGTATCAATTCTATTTTTAACTTTACTCCTTTATCCCTTAATGTGCCTCAGCATTGATCATTGACTTATAAATTTTCTGAGCTCTAATCACAGACTTCCACACATGAAACTTATTTATAGGTAATAGGTTTCAACTTGACTTACCAGCCTCTCACCTCATCTATTATTGATCATTTTTGTCCCTGCCAAGAATATGACAGGCCACTTTGACAATTATTTGGATAGATGATTTATGAAATAGAATAATCACTCTCTGATAAGATGATTTAATGATAACCACTGTCCAACCACCTAACCTCTCATCATTAGTCTAGAGTTTGATTTGTGTAAGAATGAGAGTCCTAGTGGACCCTATTTAAGTGAGTAAATTGTCTACTTATGTGGCAGATCAATATGCTAGACTACCAACAAGTAGATGGGCTCATTGGTACTGCTCCTTCAGCAAAAATTTCCAGCAGTGCTCATTGTTTAGGTGCATCCAGGTGTTTGTATAGGAAAGATCAGAGTTTATTCAGTTACCTAATTTCTTTTTTTTTAGCGGTTGAGTGTTTTGCTCGACTTAGACTTTTTCTAAAACGACTGCTTGCGTTTATTTCATGTAATTCCTCCACTTCTTCTGTTAAGGAAAATACCTTTTCATTTGAGACTCAACCACTTACAACCGGAACCAGTCCACGCACGTCAGTCACTGCGCTTGTTTTTCACATCCACTCCCCTACTCGACTTTAGTCCATGTGACAAAGCATTGGCTCATTCAGGAATGGCGCCATAGGAGATGCATTGCACACTAACCTGCCTCTGCCACCGCGTAGATGGGTTTCTGCATTCTTTCATGAGAACGTCTGACTTAAGTACGTGGATTGGTTCTGCTAACTATCATAATGGAACTAAACTTTCCATATTTACCTACTCTTTTTTGAAACTGTAAGAAATCCTGGCACGAGATTCAGGAGCTTTTTTGACATGAGTATTGTCAAAATTTCAAGAGTTACAATTAATTGTAAACTTACTCTCATGAAGAAACACAAGTGAGGTCTCCAGTCGAATTGCTTTCTTGTTTTAGGTTTTGGTTTTACAAGAACTTCCCATTTGTATCGTATGTTGCAAGGTGCTTGATTAAGCAAGTGATGAACATCTCTGAATGGTTAGGATTGAAGATTAAAGGGAAGAATCTAGCTCGCCTTTTCTTACACCTCATATCTCATAGTTTTTCAGTCTTCCTTGCTGAAGTGTCATTAGTGGTTTTGCCCAAGTTTCAAATAGTTTACTCATTGATGTCAAAATTTGTACAACTTTTCTTCTCTAATGAATATAAATGATACGTTAGAAGATGTGAAAAATTTCTCTTTTCAATGTATAAATCATTATTTCCTAGTGTAGAAGTGAGACTGGGGTCATCTCTCACGAATCAAAAACATTAAATGCTTTTTCCTTTTCAGTGGCAGCAAACTGAAAACACTCGGGGTTAATGTTCGATTTCTGCATGTTTGTGCTCAGGCCCGCCACAAGGGGGGGGATACTGGGTCCTTGGTACCGGGGCCCGTGATGCAGGTGACAAACCACTACGAATTCATGTGTAACCCTTGTCTCGTAGGGAAAAGTGAAAAAATTACCCTAAAAATTCCGCAAAAGGTGAATAAAGTTTCAANCCCCCCCCTGTGCTTAGGGGCCCGGGCCAGAAAATTGGTACCAGGGCCCGAGATGGGATGTGGCGGGCCTGTTTGTGCTATCCAAGATAACTCCTATCATGATTGATTCATGAAAGGTTTCTTTCAAGATAAAATCCATACATTTTTTTATTGTTTCCATGACAAATCGTCAATACAGTTCTACTGCATTGTAATTGAAAGGCAGAACTTGCATCTGATCAGTTGGCAATTTTGATGAAAATACAGTTCGCAAATGGGAAGCCAACAACTTCTTACTAATCTGATGATAGTTCCCAAGAATTTCGCACCTGTGACAGGGGCTTTGAAACTTGAGAAGATGTTGGCAAATAGTGAATAGTAAACTTCCACTTTTCAGCAAGTACTATACATTTCATGAAAAGTTTCATGCTGTAAATTTAGGTCTAGTACTGAGTCTAGTAGCTGATGCCAATTAAGGGCCTTTGTTGAGAAAATATGTGCTACAGGAATGAAAATAGGTCCTCAAGTAATCAAATTTCTGGTCTCTTTCAGGTGTAAGTCTCTAGCATGGACGACTATCCTATGGAAATGACTCCGCCCTTGCCAATTTTTCCGGACCTGACCAAACCCGGAGTTGTGGCATCGTGGCGCGAAAAATTTGAGAAGGGTGTCCTTTCCTGCACTCATTTTAAAGAACATTGGCGTTTATGGGTGCCTAAGCTATTGAGTCCTGATCCTAATGGGAATTGCCTTGAGTGGAATTTCGATGAAGAAAGGACACAGAAAATTTTATTCGATTCATTAGAAGAATTCATCTGTAATGGAGACCCCCAAGAGGTGCGCACTTATAATTTTACTCATTTATCTGATACAACATGGCAATTGATAAAAAAAATCAAGCTAAAGGCCAAAAATAAATTAAACAAGTGATACTTCAAACTACATGTAGATGAGAAATAATATAAAACTTACAAGAAACGGAGCTAATGTTTCAACCGCCAACAAACTTCGATCTTGTCGATCTTTGTTGGCGGTCAAAACGTTAGATTTGTTTCCTATAAGTTTTGTATTATTTCTCATCAACATGTAGTTTGAAATATTACTTCTTTAATTTATTTTTTGTTTGTAGCTCCATTTTTTTATAAATTACAAGGTTCCATGCAGCTTAGCCAGTCAAATTTGGCATTAAAATGTATTTATCTGATACTTTATTTCTTGTTGAAGTTAATTAAATTTTAGCATTCTGTATGCTATTGATAATCTCAAAATGAAGGTAGATGGTAGCAGGGGTTGGATATATCTTAGACCCTCAGCTGTAAATTTCAAAATGATTGCTGGATATGTACCATTTATCACAGCATAACACAGCAAATTGGAGCACTGGGTGCAGATTTTTTTTTTTTTTTTTTTGCACCTTGAATCATTTGTGGAAAATGTCTTTACAAGCGGACCGCATTTTGCAATAAGGAACCATCATTTTAATATTATCTATAAAAGCACCATCCACATGAGGAAACTAATGACACATACGCTGTTTATAAATAGAGCTAAAAATAGTTGCTCATAATTTGAAAATGTATTCTAACTATAGAACACTAGTTTTCTTTTGTATATTTGGTCAACTTTATACCTCAAAGAAAATCTCTGAAATCCAGTGATCTTTTGGAGGCGTTATTTAAAGTGATTCTTTGTAAGAACTATGTCTAACTTAAGTGACAGATTTTTTTTTAGTGTGAAGTACTTAACAATTTAACAATGTTTTCTATGCCTATTCAAGGATTTTTTTGGTGCCTGTCAATACTTCGAATATTTAATTTGTGCCTGTCTCAAAGCAACCATTTCAACTATGTATGGTTTTCCTAAATAATTACTCAATTTCTAAGACAGCACAACTGTCCAGACTGAGGAGTATGTAGTTCACGTCTGATCAGTGTATTTTATTTTGGTTACTCGTTTTTTTCATACTGTAATTTACGATTAAATTTTAGTTTACTTTAGAGTCCCTTTATATTTAGAGTTGAGACAATGTGAATCCATTTCTGATTGCTTCCTGTATTTTAGGCCTCCACAGTGTCACAAACGGGAATAAAGATTACATTTTCACCGATTGCAAAGTTTATAATCTAGAATGGACCAGGGAATAACGGGTTCGGCAAGGAACAAACGGAATGAGAGGAGGAACGGAGAGAGGAATTTGAGAATGAGCCGATCAAAGATAAGGAAAAACTATCAATTTGTGTAATCTTTATTCCCATATGTGACTCCGTGAGGGGGGGTCGTCTTAACTCTCGGTATAAAGGAACTCTAGTTTACTTTAATTTAGGTTTTTATCACTCATTGTTTTAGCCTGTACAAACCATAAAAGAAGTTGATTATTTTTATATATCGGGAGTTCTAAGAAACTCTTCTGACCTATCCATTGATGCAAACTGCTCCAATTTTCTAATACTGATTTTAATATGGCTACATTTAAATACATCTAATGGTACTGCTAAGAACCTGTCAAGATTATAATTTTTTCTTATGATAGCTTTGATCTGCAAGTAAAATTATATTCTGCTCAGTTTCTACAATTCCATTGTTGCTAAGAGATTTTGCCTTTGACTGTGATTTCCTCAAAAAGTATTATAGCTGCTCTGAACTAATTTTTCTGTGACACAACAAATTTTCAATTTTAGTTTTTTCAATGAAGATTTTCAGTAATCTTCCCATTTTTTTCTTTTTTTTCACACCAATTTTTTCTCTTTCATTATTTTCAGATTTTCAAAAGTCTCAGTCAAATGGAGAATCCACCATCCGTTTGTGGGCGCGTTTTTAAAATGGGAGAGCCAACATACAATTGCCGTGAATGCGCAATGGATGCCAGTTGCGTCTTCTGTGTTGATTGCTTCAAAAAATCCCCGCACAGACTACATAAATACAAAATGGGGACTTCCAATGGTGGTGGTTGCTGCGACTGTGGAGATATAGAAGCCTGGAAGAAGGAACCGTACTGTGATATCCACATTGCCGGAATTCAAAATCGGCAAGCAACCGTCAAGGTTTTACCATCTGACACGCGTAAAAGAGCTCGGATTACTTTCTACTCTATTTTGAATTATACCTATCAGTTATTGACAATTGAACACTCACCAGGGCTACCAGCTGAGCTTCGTTTGCATGAGGCGCAAGATAATCCAATAATTTTTCTCGACACTCCTGACACTTATTGCACAGTTTTATACAATGATGAGACTCACACATTTGAGCAAGTTATTTCAACTCTAGCCCGTGTTATCAAGTGTTCACAACGAGATGCCATTGAGTTTGTCACAAATATTGACAGGGAAGGCCGTGCAGTAGTTAAATGCTCCACTTTTCAACATTGCACACAAGTTAAGTCTGAAATCGAAAAATTCACGTCACGTCACGGAAATCGTGCTCTCAAAGCGCTGGTTGTTCATGCACATGTCGTTGCCCACCAATTATTCGCTCTTCGTCTTTTGACATGGCTGCAAAAAATTCTCATGCACTCAGAGGGCTTTCGCTCTCTGTTCTGTGAAGAAGCTCTTAAGCCTCGAGGTACAGACCCATGCATTGTTGAGGGTATTTTGAGGCGAGACTCGAATTTGTGGAAATCAGCGCGGCTTCATTGGCACAGGCTGTTCATTTCAGGTATGATGATGGAGTATGAAAGCAAGAAAACCTTTGCACGGGTATTTGCCAAGAATTACGGATCAATAATGAAGGATTTTATTCGTGATGATCATGATCACTCATTTTCCGTCGCATCTCTTGCCGTCCAAGTGTTCACCGTTCCAACTCTAGCACATTATTTGATCGCAGACGAAGACGTCATTTTTATCCTCCTCAACACATTTGTCTCTGAGTGCGCGAGGAAGGTGAACAAGCAAAACAAGTTGGAATTTGAGAAAAATATTTATAGCAATACTTTTAAGCGAGCTCAGTATGTCTTGTATGATTTGCGATATTTGTTAGGAGTTGTTCCAGAAGTGTGGACGGACAATCTAAGGAAAGGGGTATTACATGGTGTTACATTGATCTTAAAACTTTTGTCATATATGCAAGGCATGGACACTGTCACGAGGCAAGTTGGTCAACATATGGAATATGAACCAGAATGGGAATCAGCTTTTAATCTTCATATTAAGTTAGCGCCTGTTATAACTCAAATGTTAAAATGGTGTGGAACTGATAGAGTTGTTCTTATTAAAGCATACCGCGCCACTTTGAAAAAGTTAATTGTCAATGCTGGATTTGATCCAAATCAAATTGGAGAAGTGCGTGAGCTAGCAGATCATAGTGCATCATGCATTCAGTTTGATGTCTCATCGCAGCCAGTGTCAATTCATCTCCCTCTATCCAGATTTTTGGCTGGTTTACATCTTCATTTAGAAAAATTTGGATTACACTTCGACAGTTCTGAGTTTCAGCTTCCAGGGAAACACACTCCTGAGCAAATCATTGAGCCTGTCCTCCGCACTCAAGTAATGATCTCTCAAGTCCACGCTGGAATGTGGCGGCGCAACGGCTATTCATTGTTAAATCAGATTTATTTCTATCACAATGTCAAGTGCCGCTCTGAAATGTTAGACCGTGACATCGTACTTTTACAAATTGGAGCATCTCTCATAGAAAGTAATGAGTTTCTAATCCATGTACTTAATAAGTTCAACCTTATCAACTGGGCAAACCCATTGTTTGATCTAAAAGTCATAAAAAATCACGAAGAAGATAGTTTGCGACAAGTTACAAATTTAGTGGAAGAATTTTTATCTTTATTGATTCAAATTGTTGGAGAGAGGTATGTGATAGGCGTTGGTAAAGTTACCCCAGAAGACTGTATCAAAAAAGAAATTATCCAGCAGTTGTGCGTCAAGCCCTTGCCTCACTCTGAGCTTAATAAGACGTTACCAGACGATGGGAATCATGAAACAGGACTTGAAAGTGTGATAAATGAAGTTGCTGTCTTCAAAAAACCCTCACAGAGTTTTGGCAAAGGTGTTTATGAACTCATGAAACAGTATTATAATGATTACAACACTTTCTTTTACCACTATACGAAAGAAGAGCTCTCTCGCTCAGAAGAAGAACAACGGAAAAGGCGGAAAGCTGCTGGTGAACTGGAGTGCTGTCCACCTCCTCAGTTGCCAGAATTAACTATGAGTTTCAACATGATTGCAAATTTGTTGCAGTGTGATGTGATGCTCCATGTCATGCAAATTGTATTGGAACGTAGTTTGAACTTGAGAGCTCAAAGTTTTTCTGAAGCCCAGTTACATAAAGTTTTGCATCTCATTGGTTATGCACTCCATGAAGAAGAGAAGAAAACTTACTCATTTTTCATATTTACCGAAAGGGCGGAAAAGTGGAAGCTGGAAAGTTTAATTGAAGAATTAATCAAAAGCCCCCGCGTCGAATGCCACAAAGACCTCCTAATTTGGACTTTGAATAAATTCCGACAGGTCTCAGCATTTCACAAACCAGCTAAAACAGAATCAGAAGATGCCCCTGCACAGCAAGAAAGCTCTCCTTTACAAAGTAACAACTTAAAGGATAAAGAGCGTAGAGCTCTGTTAGCAAAGCAGCAGAGAGAAAAGATCATGGCACAAATGAAAGCTCAGCAAAAAAACTTCATGCAAGAAAATGCCAAACTGTTTGAAGAGACCGAAGCTACCAAAACAGATGATTTGGATGAGTCAATGGATGTGGTTTTAGATGTTTGGAATGAGTATCCAGTTGCCCTTGGTGTCAATCAGACGGCAAGAGCAGTTTCAGATACAACGTACACTTGCATCCTGTGTCAGGAGGATCAAAAAGTCACAGCAGATGGACCTGCAATGGTCTTAGCTGCGTTTGTTCAAAAATCAACAGTTTTGTGTAGAAACCGCAGCTCAGAAGAAAACTTGGATGACAGTGCCCTCTTGCAAGATCCATACAATATTCCTTCAAGCTACGCCCCAACCCCTCACGCCAGCACTTGCGGTCATGTAATGCATAGCACCTGTTGGTTAAAATACTTCGAAAATGTTTTCAACAAGGAAAATAGGCGGCCGTCTCGGTCAGTAATGCCAACCGTCTATGATGTTGAGAAAGATGAGTATCTCTGCCCTCTGTGCGAGAGTTTAAGCAACACTGTCTTGCCTCTAATCCCTCCATTACATACACTGCAGCAAAAAGTGCCAGAAATTCCAGAGTATACTCTGGATAGTTATATTGAAGCAGTAAATGTAGCAATAAATTACAAAAAACATTTTTCATCAAAGAAACCAAAACTCTCAAGTTGTTCTAGTGATGCTGATTCAGCTCCCTCTAGCAGTAAGTCTCCTGAAATTTCAGAAGCAAGCCTGTCACGTGCCAGCCAGAGTAATGACTCATCTTTTTCTCAACCTGCTCAGGCAGATGCGGCATCTGTTTCAGAGCAAACAGGTGAGCAAGTCTTATCTGATTACTTGATGGAAGAGAGTGCCAACATCCGAGAACTATCCCCAGAAGTTGTCACAGAATATTCTGATGGAGAAATGGAAGTATTGGACCGTGATTATCATTTTGATGATGAGGTTGTGATGCAAATAGTTTACCTCTCAGCTCCACCAAACCCCTCTCAACCCAAGCCATCAAATTCTGCGCAGAGCTCAACAGATGTTTCCAATGTTATCTCCTCTCCAATTTTATCTGATAACTTACTCCATAAAATTCTGATGTTTGCTAAAGTTACTTACACCAAGGGGTTGGGTCCTTTATCCCGGCCGGATGATTCCAGAGTTCCTATGATGACTTGGCGGTCTTGTGCATACACTATCACAGCACTAGAATGGTATTTACGAGATGTTGGTAAACCACTTTTAGGTGACTTTTCAAGCCGTCAAGAAGATTGCATTGATGCATTGGTGCGTGTCACAAGTATTCTAGGTTCTGTATGGAATAAAGAGCAAGTCATCAATAACCATGGGCTCAAACTCTTACAACTGATTTTAGATGGTAACCACTGCGTTTTAGACTGGGATTGCTTTGGCGTTCTGGTGCCCTTGACAATGGCACTGCCAAACTTATTTTACCCAGAGAAACCAACACCTCTCCCACTAGGAACTGCCATTGATTGCTACACACTACGACTCATTTTTACAGCACATATAACGCAAATTATCTTAACATGTAATTTGGACCCTAATGATTTTATGGATGACAATGTGATTGAGGATGCATCAGATTTTGAGTGTTTGCGAAATATCATCAAAATCCTTCGTGGAATGAAAAATGACGACGAGATTTATCCTTACGTAGCGTGGAAACAAATTCAAAGGCTTTCCCGGCCTTTCCTACGATCAGCTGTTATATTTTACCACTTTCTCACCGGAGTCCCTGCCCCACCTTGTCTAACAGAAGTTGGAGGAGACACTTATGAAAATATGTGTCGATATCTTGGCTTGCCCACATCGTGTAAAGAACTTTTAGACCATGAATCTATTACAAAATTAATTACTAAATGGAGTGAACACAAAAAGATAAGAGAAATCATCCATGAAAACAAAACATATCCGTTCAGGGATCTCCTAGCAATAAATCAATTGGTCAATTTGCCTGAAGACTATAGCGAGCTGATAAATACAGTTTCATTGTTTACATGTCCAAATAGTGATCATGAAGATTCAAGAAATCCAACTATGTGCCTCGTTTGTGGCGAAATGCTCTGCTCTCAAAGTTACTGCTGTCAAACAGAGATTAGTTCTAACACATTGGTAAGTTATTTTTAGTAGCATTCTTGCTTCTCTTAAAGCTATCTTATGTCGTCCAAAGTACCTTGACCAAAATTTTTTTGCGCACACTTTCCACAAAAAAATTTAACAATAAAATAAAGTCCTGACTTTTGCTATTTTTACCTTTTTCTAACAAAGCTCTAAAAGACATTGAAACAATCTAGGATTTTATTGCGACAATTCTGTGCCAATCGATTGACTTTTCTCAAAATTTTCCTCCAATTTTCAAAGTTATGAGCTTTTTTTTTCTTTTTTCTTTGTTAATATGTTATTCAGTAGTTGATTCGAAACCTGCTGTTGCTTGATTAATTTTTAAAGTAAAACTTTGAGGAGAAAATTTTGAATGAGTAAATCTTCAATGCACTCTGTGAAATCTGCGCATCCTATTCTGTGCGGTTAGAATTGAAATTTCATGTTTGCTTGTTAGAGCTTTGTCGCATAGTCAACTTCACTCTGAAATTTAATGAAATATTTTGTCCCCTTTTATAGAATGAAGAACCTTAATTTCTATTCATAATTTTGTCCTTTTTATTTGAAATTAAATGTTACTATTGATAAAAATCTCTTTGCAAGACAATCAGCATGTTTTTCTCATCAATACTTGAGAGATTAAGTAGAGTTCTAGATTTCAGCTAACAAAAGTAATTCATCAAAAATTGCCTGTTTTGAGCTGTGTTGGAATGTAGTTGCGACTTTGTAAATGTGAAGAAAGCTGAAGTCTTCGATTTTTTTACAGGTCGGTGCTTGCAATTACCATGCGCATACATGTGGAGCGGGTGTTGGGATCTTCTTGCGTGTGCGAGAGTGCGAAGTGTTACTCCTAGCGACTCCAAACAGAGGCTGCTTTTTGTTACCGCCGTACTTAGACGACTATGGTGAAACAGACCAAGGTCTCCGCAGAGGGAACCCTCTACACTTGTGCCACGAGCGGTACAAAAAGTTGAAATTGCTATGGCTCAGCCATGGCATCCATGAAGAAATATCACGGTCGGTCGAATCCATATACCGAGTGCATAACCTTCAATCAACCCAGTGGCAACACCTGTAATGTATCTTTCTTTTTTTGTTGACATCATAGGAAGTTAGAGGCTCAATGTGGGCTAGAAAATATCATTCAGTTTTAAGCTGTACATTGAAAGATGCCTCTACTGCCTTGCATATTTTGATTCTTGAGATTTCTAGCTTTGAAGCCCAAAATGTGAAAGGTAAAAAACCCATTTCCCGTTTTTGTAGAAAGATGGTGTCTCTAAGACTAATTTTAATGGAATCAGAAATTGGATGGATCTAGATTCCTTTTTTATTTCATTTTAATTTTCTCTTTCGTTAATATGGGACTCAAATCTTAATTCCTTTGCTTTCTGTGACGCCCAAATTTATTCTCCTGTACTCATTAAAAAGTATTCATCTGCGCCTTGGAAAAAAAGAGAAGTAAGGAAAATTAACAGAAACAAGTTCAATTTACCATTTTGAGCACCAAACCCTATTGAGCTCTTAATTAGTGAGGACTTGGCTCTTTTATAACAACCAATTTGAGTGATTAGTAAGCTTAGCTCCCTTAATTTTTTCATTTTTAATAACGTTCGCTTGCAATAATTAGGAGTGCTCATTCTAATTTCTATTTTAGTACCATTTAATATGAAATTCTGGTCTCTGTGTTGAACCTGTTAAGGATCTCACATTAGTTTATCAGTCCTTTCACATTCAAAGGAAACTTGAATGGAAAAATCTGAGACGGGTTTTAGAAATGAATTTTTCATATAATCTTTGCAGAGTGTAAAAAAATGAATCCTTACTAACTTTCTTGCTTTTATATCTTTTCTTTGGTCTAGCCACAAATTAAGTGACTTTTGGACATCAATTGCTTGCCTTTATCATGAAAAAGATGTGTAATTTCGTATTTTATAAATTTCTTTTTGTATTTTGCTGTCAACATTACGTCAAGAAGGAGGGGCAAAATCTAGGGAAAAAGTTGAATCTAAGACAACTCTATCAACTTAGTTGACTTAAAATGGTCAAAAATGTGCCTTGTATTCTTTTTCAAAAAATGTCTTTTTTGTAGAAGCTTAGATCAATAAATTGCAGCTAGATAAAATCAAAACTTTCATAAGTTAAACTGATCCTTATGTCACGATAATAGTTTGAAGAGATTATACACAATCACTTCGCAAGTCACCCTTTGAATTATTGGAGTGTAATTTTAAAGTATGATAAAGAATTTTTAATGACTTAGACCCCTAGACCCTGCCAATGGTCTTCTTGCGTTGCGAAAAAAGTTGTATGATTTTACTGTGGGAAGTTGAATCTCAGTCATGAAGAAAGCGTTTATTCTCCCACTAGTGGCCCACTCACTCTAACCTTGCCGCACAACAAATCTATTGTACATAAAAATCTTAGCTAATCCTTGCTAATAATTGTGCAGTTTGTGGAAGGGTTAGTGGAATATTTTTCTTGTTTTCACCATTTTATTTTAACAAGATTACGTTTCAGTTTTTATTCAAGTGTGATTTTTTACTTCTACGTTTTTTAAAATCTCATTTCGTGCAGTCTAACTGTTTGGATGACAAAAAGTAGGAATTGAACCTAACCAGCTACTTCAGCAGCTTGCAATCACTTCCCTTATCACTTTTATATTTCATGTTGTACTTGCAATGAAATCAATTGCTCTGAGTTATTGTTTCAGCAAGAACCTATAATTTTTCAGAAATAAGTAGTCTTTGCTTTTGTTAATAGTCATCTCCTCTCTATCTTCTTGTTTTTTCTGTATGTAAGTATTAGTTTGTATCTCCTTACAGTTATGGCTTTCCCAATGAAATTTTAAAGTTTTCACTTTACTCTCTATCTCTTACAATTTTCTGTGTACATACCATTAATACTCTATCGATAACATTAGTCTGTAAAAGTGTACCATTCAAATTTTGTTCAAGAAGAGCTTTTAGTTACACAGGTCTGTCAACTAGAAGCCTTTTATTAACGACTCATTTATAATTTTATAAAAATTCGAAGCTTTCTGTGCAGAAGCCTTAAGGAAAACGACCAAACTTTGAGGAATCACTGAGAAAAAATTATTTGAACAGGTATTCAATTTGAACAAAATTGAAAATGATTCTCTATGATTATTAGATCATCAGTAACTTTTGTCCTCATGGTTTAAATTGGGCAAACAATTTTGTGTTTATTGACAGGTTGAGAGATGATGTTTGCATGTAAATTTGTTTTTGTCTCATCAAATGGCTATCATTAAAATTTAAAAGTTCCTAAAAATATTTTAAATGTTTGACCATGCAAATTTAAAACATGAAATCCTCATTTATCTTTTGAGGCTTTAATTGAAGAGTTTCTAATTGTTTTAATTTGGACACAGAAGTGATCACCAGATTTTAGTGTTGTGCTGAGGAATTATTTTTGATAAGGGTTGAACTGAAAAGATCAAATTTGAATTTGTTAAACACTTTAACTATTATTATTTTTTTTCGTTGCTCCTGGAGAGTTGGTCTTTTTTTTTTCTTCTTTTTTCTATCCAAGAGAATTGGAGTTTTCAATAAACGTAAAGGAAACAACTAAAGTGAATCACTTCTTTTCAAGCTGAAAATGTTGTGTTTTACTTCAGCGTTACCCCATTTGAATTTTTCTGTCACATGGAATCATCACAGTGTTTTCTTCTTTCTCAGCAAATTGATTTAGTCAAATGAGGTGTAAATTACTTTTATTTTTCACTGTCCCGTAGGGGTAAAAACTGTTGAAATACGAATTCAGCTGTCGAAGTATTTCTGATGAGAATCTTTTTAAAGAATGTTCCTATGAACATGAAAAAGTATCAAAAGTGGATTTGATCGAAAAATCAGTTTTTTTTTTTTTAAATAATCCTTTTTTATCAGCTCTATGTTAGAGAAATGTGCTGCTATATTCTTCTCTTTTAAAGAAGGAGTATTGTAAATATTTCTCACCAATTGTGATCAAGTGTTTGTTGTTCTTCTGAGAAATCAAAGCACAGGTCGTCTTAGAGAGTTGAATTTTTTTCTCAAATCAAACAGGGGCTATTCATAGTGCTTTTTGTTTGTATCTCAAATGTACTCAGTGAATTTCCACATGGAAAGAAATGTTTTAAAAAATGCCAACGTTTGACTCAAAAAAAGTATGAATGCTCTTCTAACGTACATCCTGTGCTTAATTAAATTGTTGCGTTTTTAGTTTCTGTGTACATATATATATTGAACTTGTAAAGATTTGTGTGATAAATAAATCTTTAAGAAGTTTATGTGGTTTTGTTCCATGGTCTTTTTCATGTATCCTCACAACGAAACCTCTCCCTATACGGTTTCAAAGCACTAGGAATGTTTAAGCATTGTAGATTTTGATGGTTCAAGAAACCCAAAACTCGCTTATTGTAGTTGTTTAGCAGCAATACTTGTACTGAATTTAGAGACTGAAATTTATATTTGGACGGTATAAGTCGGCAATCACACAACTCGTTTGCGGTGTCTAAAAATCTCTGCCTCTATGTTATTTTCTTAAAGGAGAACAAATTGACATCGTTCCTTGAAGTTTATGCAGAATTTTCTTCGTACAGAGAAGAAAAATCACGGCAGTTTTAAAGAATTGCCGTAGAGTAGTTTTACGTTTAAAAAATAAAGTATGATAGGAAGTCTACTACGTCGCAAACCAAGTTATGTGATTGCCGACTTACACGGTCAATTTACTTCAAGTAGACCAGATTTAGCAGAAAGTAAGAACTAAGCCATGTTATGAAAAAATTACTGATGAGTAGTTCTGAGGCAACTAATCGCAAATTTCCTCCGTTTTTCAGTTGGTTTGTAGTTGAAAGTTGACACCACTAAATGGAAATAAGACTGAGCTAGGGGTGGCAGTTATGGACTCTAGAGTTTTAAATTACCTCCCACACTTAATTAGAACAGTTACAGATGATCTAAATCCAAGAATTTTAACATTTGTTTCATTGAAGAAAAAAACGGTAATAGGGTCAGATAGAATTTTTATTATTACATATTTTAAATTTAAATACAATTTTGGACCTTTCAAAAGGTTAACATTGGCAAGAGGTTGAGGATGCAATTTGTCAGACAGATTTTTTTGGCAGATTGTTACATCACTTTCTTAAGAAATCTGCTGATTAAAAGGCAGAAAATCTTTTTGACTAACTTTTTAAAATTTTAAGGCCAGCTAAGATATCTAATAGTGAGGAGACAAGGGGATGGAAAGGGTAATTGGACTATATTTTGCAATTTGGAACTATAAATTCTAGCCCAGTTTAAAAATACCGTAGGTACCATTAGTTTCCCTATGCACAAACATGTTTTTACAGGAGAGCCAGAATTTATGGTTCCAAATTGCAAAATGCAGTCCAATTGCTATCACATTGATGTGTGATTCGGACAGAATATACCGAAAACATTTTTATGGATGACACAAGGTATTCTTTTTCACAAGAGCTTTAAACCGATTAAACAAAAACATAACTACTTCTCAACCGTTAGCAGATATTGACTAAGATGTGTGTTTCACGCGGTTAGTATAAAATCAATGGGTCAGTTGTGCTAGTCACAGAATCTCGTTTTGATGACTCAAGATTAAATATCAACAAAAAAAGAAGACCTTTCTAAACTTGGAGTTTCCATGTCGAATATTAACAGAGATATCGTCCTTCAGAAAACACAGTATGAAGTCGTTCACCATGGGAGCACACACCATGGTTTATTCAGCTTAGATTCATCAATCAGTGATAGACACTTGCATTGGTTATTTCAGTATACAGGGATGAAAACAAGGTGGAAGAAACCTTGGTATGTACTACTGAGGTGGATGACATCATACTTACACATAGTTTTCCAAAATTCGATCAATATATCCGCCACTACAGGATGTAAAAATTAGGTGTTTGGACAGATCTCATTTTTTCTTAATTCGAGAGCTTGAGCAATCAAAATTTAATTTGGTGCCTAGCGCAATTGGAACATTTTTTAAGTTGACAATGATGGATTTAACACACTGACGATATGCCATAGGGTAACAACATTCTCAAATGGGCTGAAGTAAGCCTCTGGTTGCTGACACACGGTTATCAGCCAATGTACTAATAGATGAATTAGTCCTATACTTATAATTCTAGAGTGAATCTTGGAAACAAGTTAGGTACCTATTCAGTTTTAGATGGAACAGTCTTGCGATTTCTGACTCAAGTTGAAAAATGACCAGAACCTTGACTTTAGAAGGTGCCAGCCACCAGTGGCTGACAGTTGACCTATCAGGCTATCTGGAGCGGAGCCAGATTCTTTTTGATAAAAAATACCTCATGGCAAACATGTTATCTGACCCATTAGTTAAATTTTCAGGAGCAGAAGTAAACATGCGCAATACTTTTTTTGAAATGGTTTCGGCCGGGGAACCAATTTACTGTAACCTTAAATTACTTAAAAATCTTAACAACCTATGCATATGATATTTCAGTCTCAAAGACAAACTCTTCAGCCTCATTTTGTTCAATCAGGCTTTTGTAATAGTTGAACTTCAGTATTGGTAGTTTTCTAATTCCTACTTTAAAACCTACAAAAAAACAAAACTTCTCATCCTAAAAAATTGATAAAGTATCTACAAGACAACAGAAATCAATTCTACTTGAAATTCAAGCTTTGATTTTAGCCCTAGTTATCTATATTAACCATAATTATTGTAGGAGGAAAGCACATTCAAAATCAGTTTAATTCAAATTGAGATTCGTAAATGCACCGAGTAACAAAATTGTAAATACAAATGGAAAAGTTACTAAATGAAAAAAAAATCAAATGCTGGAATAATTGCAAGTTTCACTAGTACAGGCTAATACAAAATTAACAATCAAAAGAAATTCATTACACTTTTCCTAACTCAACAGAAGTACTCGAGGAGGAGCTACCTTCACTTAACTTGTGGTCTTCTTGCTGATAGCGTCTCCTAGAAATTGGCAGCTTCTTTTTAGGGGTGAAAACTTCACCAGTGTCCTCCCCATCATCAGATGGAGATGGTATGGGGGATTCTTGTAGGCGGCAGAACTCTTGAATTGCTTTATTTAATGACCACATTTGAGCCAAAAGAGCGACGTCCACTTGACGGAGACGATACTGTAACAGAGAGGAGACAATTTATTGCCTGGGATAAATACTACTCGAGTACAAAAGATCTAGATGTTAGATTAATGGTGGTAACTTTTATCAGCATGCAGGACTACAATTGTTGAGGGCATTTCCCTGGACCAGCATCTTTTTTAATGGTATTTTTGAGCCCTTCTCTACTTTCGTCCTTTCTCGTTTTTTCAGAAAGTATCAGATTCATTTGCAGCAACACAGTGTAAATAGGAATCTTTTGGATGAATACTTCTCTTCTTGTTTCTCTGCATGTGAGCAACTTTGAAAGAGCCACAAAATTTTTCTTAAATTGCTTGAAAAGCAATAAAAGCACAAACTGTAAATTCCCTTGTGTTTGGGTAAAAGAGAAAAATCTGCAAGTATATATTGAATTCATGATTGTCAACTTAGATCTAGAACTTTAAAATTATTCAATAGTTAATGTCTATGAGTGGTATATTCTAAACAATCGAACATTACTGCGATGAAAATCAGTGATAGTTTACTTCATCAGCCCAATAGGCGATGCTGGAATCAAGTCAAAATGTAAGAGAAACAATCAGAGGTTCAGTTAGTGTTGCATGAGACGGACACTAAACGAAATTCATCAAAACGCCTGCAGACAACAATTCGGGCTCCATGGATGTACGTGTTACTTACGCGCGGAAACGACGGCGTTTGGACTATGGACACTAACCGCCTGATCAGCAACGCTCGGTAGATCAAGTCAATAATAGGAGTCGGACAAAATTTGAAAATATTAAAAGCTTACATCGATGTTTATACAGAACGTATAGTACAGTCAATGTAGCATTTATCCGCGATAATCAATGCAAGTTTCTTGGCAGAAACAAGTTGCAATAGGCCACCAGATCACTAGAATAACATAGCAAATGTTTACCGAAATCGGCTGTCCGCTAAGGTCAGGCATATATTAGCGCCTACAAGAGTGCAAGAATACTTCACGCATTGCGCCTAAAAACAGCGCGGTCGCTGGTCGGCGCGAAATGCGAAAAAAATTTTAGCGCCTGCAAGAGAGCCGGAATACTGCACGCATTGCGCCTAACACGATGCGGGCGCTGGTCGGTTCGGAAAGCGTATTGGCGCCTACAAGACTGTCGTAATACCTCACGCAGTGTGCGTTCACTACAGTGCGCGCTTTAATCGTTGAAAATTCGTGGTATCGCGGTGCCGGACCAACCGAGGTCTACACCAAATTTCGACCAGATTGTACCCCAAACCCGCAATCCTGGGATCGAGGGATTGTAGAATTTTTGCACCCCTGAAGGTGACAAATTAATGAATGTATAGGAATTTTCCTGGGAAATTTTGTGTTTCTCATTAAAGGTCTAATGGCGTTTTCCCGTAGGATCGATTGTTTTTGAGACATAGGCAAAAACCGTTTGCTGGCGGCGTATTTTGGCCCCTTTGCCCGCCTTTTTACGAGATGGTGTCCTTAGGGAACAGCCGATTCCGGTAAGCTTTTGCCACGTTGTTTTGGTAGCCTATTGCAACAAGTTTCCGCCAAGAAACCTTCAATACATTGATTTTTCGAGATTGAACTTTTTAGAGCTAATTTGACTGTGAGCAGTGGTTTCATTGGTTTTCCACCAAGAGGCATCCCATACAATTTAAAAGTGAGGAAATTAACATAAAAATTTGCAGTTTTAGTCGAAATTTAATGTCAAACATTTGGGGAAGGCTCATTTCATTGCGCAGCGGGCTTTGCTTTACTGCGGAGATCTATAATGACAGAGTGCCTTCAACTCTTCATTTATACTTCAAAACCATCTCTTAGCCATGAGTAAGTAGTAATTGCTCTACAAATCATGCTCAAAAAGCACGCATCAAAAAGTGATTGTCGAGAGTGAAGCGCGGGAAACGCATACCCACCTGTGTTAATCTACCCGTTTTGAATCTTAGATTAAGTAATAATGTCATAAATTGATCTCTTTAATAATTTAACGCCCGAGATTCAGAACAGGAGCCATTTATAACACTGAAAACAGGCCCTTGGATCTAGAATCCAGACTCTTAAAAACATTGACAAGAAAAAATACTCTTCAATCCGAGTTTTCCTTGAAACGAGGAGCCGAGACTCTTGATTCAGGCGGATTTCTTTTCATTTCAAGCAAAAAGTCCGATTGAATCAAGAGTATTTTTTCTTGTCAATGTTTTTAAGAGTCTGGACACCAGATCCGAGCGACTTCTTTATCAGTGATGGTTTTTACTGTTTCCCTCGAATTCCCATTTCCGGCGCTTGCATGTTTTCAAGAACGCCCGATCTAATTTCTACTTCTCCGGGGCGTTTTTCGGCCCCGGCGGAGCCTGCTGCTCCAAATAATTGAAAAATAATTACTCTTCATTCAATCCGATTTTTCCTTGAATCGAAGAGCCGAGCCTCTTGATTCAGGCGGATTTCCTTTCATTTCGAGCAAAAAGTCCGATTGAATCAAGAGTATTTTTTCTTGTCAATGTTTTTAAGAGTCTGGACTCCAGATCCGAGCGACTTCTTTATCAGCGATGGTTTTTACTGTTTCCCTCGCATTCCCATTTCTGGCGCTTGCGTGTTTTCAAGAATGCCCGATCTAATTCATGGTGTCTAGTTTTCTTGGTAAAGCTCATTCCCTGATTTTCAGGAGCTCATTCCCTGATGAGAAACCGAAGCTTTCTCCCACTTTCCCGGGATATTCTTGGGGAAAAGAATATTATTTTCCAGAGTTTCAGATATGAATATCGATTTTAATTAATCTTTTAGCCATTTCTTTGGCGCACATTCAAAATTTTAATCCAAAAAATGTTCCTGGGTGTTCCGAAATGATCCCTGGGTGGTTGGAGAAGAGATTCCCGGTTTCTGAAACTCATTCCCTGATTTTGCCGGTAAATTTTCATTCCCTGATGAATCCCGGTTTTTAAAAAACTAGACACCATGATCAATGATTATTGAGAGTATATTATTAAAGTATATATATAAAGAGTATTTTTTCTTGTCAATGTTTTTAAGAGCCTGGACTCTAGATCCAAGCGACTTTTTTTTCTTCTAGTGAATGGTTTTCACTGTTTTTCTCGCATTCCCATTTCCGGCGCTTGCGTGTTTTCAAGAACGCCCGATCTAATTCCTATTTCTCCGGGGCGTTTTTCGGCCCCGGCGGAGCCCGCCGCTCCGAATAATCGAAAACTAATTGAAAACGACAGAGCAATTACCATTTCATCGCGGAGCGTGGCCAGATTGGTTTCGATCGACTTGGTTTCCTCCGAGGTGGCGGTCACGTGCCTCGGCGGTCTGGGCGTCTCGCCGTTCTGGCTCAGGGTGGCGGGCGGGGTCGGCAGGGTCCGTCCTTTCCGCTCGGGCCTCGCGCTGGGGCCGCCGCCGCTGCTCCAGTCCGCCCCGCTTTGGTCCATACCGTTCACTCTGGCCGCCTCGTGCGACAGACTCCTCGGCAACGGTGGGAGCCCGTGCATCGACGTCATCCTGATCCTCAACGCCAACAGGGACTCTCCTCTGGAATCAAAAACAGAACCTGAGCACGGTAGATTTACACAGGTATGGACAGAACTAAGGATCCTTTGGTCCTTGGGGACCAAAGGATCTCCAAAGAGAACAAAAGAAGGATCTACAACGCGATTGTCAAGAGCATAGTAACCTACGGGTGTGAAGTATGGCCAATGAAACAGCGGACCCGGGAGGTTTTAGAGGCAACTGAGATGGACTTCTGGTGTAGATCCGCTGGTATTTCCAGAAAGGATCGCGTCAGGAATGAGACGGTACGGGAAATCATGGATGCCAAGCAGACCATCGTGCATGACATTATGACAAAACAGCTCATTTGGTATGGTCATGTCCAGAGAATGGCAGGAGACAGGTTGCCGAAGAAGGTCCTTGACTGGGTTCCTCCTGGGAGAAGACGCAGAGGGCGCCCAATGAAAGGTTGGAGGGAAGGGATTGAAGCGGAAATGTTAAGGTGCTCAATCCCCCATGATTTGTGGTTTGAAAGAGAGGTTAGGAGTCGTAGAGCGCGAGGGAGTGCTGTAAAGCGACTTATATGTATGTATGGACAGAACTAAACAACTGGCCTCTGATTGGCTCGGCCCCTTAGCTTTCGCCATTTTGTATGTTTTGATAATTTTGATTTATGATGTTCGGTTTATCGTTCGTCAAAATTTTGCGCGATTTTCTGCACAATTTTGATAATGCGATATTAATTTTAACGTTTGAACGCACAAACGTTTGAATGTTAATTTGATTGTAATTTAATTAAAAAACGGGCCCCTTAACCTACGTCACGTAGTCATGTGACACGTACTGAGACTGATGGGAAATTTTCGATTTGTCCATACCTGTGTAAATCTACCTTGGAACCTGAGTCACACTTCTCGTCGTGGCCAAGCTTGGAGCTACGTCTTTGACTCACGCCGTTGCTCGCTATAGCCGTCTCGCGTATCCGTCCGTTCTCCCTGGAACGCACTTTGTTCGATGAAGTTTTCTCGGGGGAATCTTTCGACTTGCTCGAACAACCCGAGCTTCTAACCGTTGGAGGTTTCTTACCCGACCGCACTGGTGAGGGAGCTACATTAAGTTTTTTAGTGTCCGTTGACATCCGCGTCGACGGGGTCGTTGCCGTACATAATTTCGAGGAGAACGCCGTAGCTTGATCGTTGCCGTAACCGTTGGAGTAGAAACTATACTTGAGGCGACTCCTCTCGCAGTAATTGCTTCCGACAGTCTCGTAAACATTTTGAGGAGCGACGTACTCGCGAAGGGTCCCTCCGTACACGTAATCGTAAGGATACCTACGGTCGCCGCGTTTGGACTGCGCCTGTCCGTGCGAATGGGCGTGCGCGTGCTTGGTTATGTCCGGGCAGCTGCCCATCGGCGACCCCCTCAACAGCTTGGTGGATCCTAAGGGGTGCCCTTCCATTTTACCGCCCGAGTTCTGAACGAACGGGTGTGAGCGGCCATGTCTCACAGGGAGGTTGTAGATGTTCTCGTAGCTGATGGATATGTAGAACTCGTTCGGTGGCACCGGGACGTAACGCAGCGACGAGGGGACTCGTTTGGTTAGCACCTGGAGACCGTCCTCGGATGGCCATTTCCTTGGTACGTTGTGAGGGACTGACAAATGGAACGACTTCGGCATGATGGACATCTTCGGGCGTTGTGCGTTTCTGTCTGGGACGACGGGCGAATCTTTCCTCCGCAAAGACATTAGTTTCGTGAGACAGCGCGCGGGAAGACTGTCCGTCGCACTCGTCTTCCGGTGCCCGGTGCATGTTTCGGTTTCTGGGTTCAGTGTCATGTTATAGAACCTGGAGCGCACTGTGCTATCGCGAAAAAATTACCGCATGGCGAGAGGGCAAGACAAGACTTTTCACAAAATGACGAGAAAGAAGAGGATCTGACAGTCTGAGGACAGCTTGAATTTTTTTGAAAATTCAATAATTAGTTAAATACACTGCGTGAGGAAAGGAAGAATATACTTTCAATTTAAGAGGAACTAGGATATCAACAGGCCTAACAGATATTGTAGAGCTATAGGAACTGTAAAGTTACTTTCAATAAGATATTTTTCTTCTTTAGGAAAAACGATAATGTATGGGTTCCATGGAAAAATGGGGAGTCATGGTAACACGTGCAGCGATTTTCCGGAAAAATGGCAGCGTGTAAAGTTTTGCACAATGCACGGTTGACAGTCGGATGCACAAAAAAATCGTGGGCACTATTCGAGGGGAAAATCGACAAAGCAATGTTTCACTAAAAACTAGTTCGATTTAGCGAGCGGCGATGAATTTGACGGAACTGACATTAGGAGCTGTTCAGACGCACTTGGACGAGGAACGAAACCTCGTATCACTAAGCGCGGTGCGCTGGGCGAAGTCCTGGGAACACTGATAATAAAAACGCAAACGACGCAACCACCTGGTGCTATTAGCTTATCGAACCTGACTTGGTTCATCCGCTTTGGCGGGAATGTTATTCCTGAGCAAGAAATGGCGCGAGCAACAGAAACTCTTGTAACTTTTTCCGATTTTCGTGACACATTTTCATTCTCAAACGTTAAAAAAGTACGGCAAGAAAAAAAATCACTTTCAGACTCGATCGAAACGCCCGCAGATCTATCTACAGCCCTCGACTAAAGTTCGGAGCGACGACGTGCGTAATTCAACAATGTAAACAAACTTGAACTTGAAAATTCAGTAGGTGTGAGAATCGGACGACTCGGTCACTCCGGCGACTTGCCTAAACAACCGCACTTAACCGTCACGGGGTAGGAACACGAGGGGGTGAGACGGGGGAGGTAATTTCCCGGAGGAGGGGGAGGGGGTACGGGACCCCGCGGGCGACCTGAGTGCCGCCGCACCGCACGGCCGAACTGCGCCGCGCCGCGTCATTAACTGCCGCACCAGCGCCGGAATAGCCGTTCGGTCGGAGCAACAGCTGAGCTCTCCGTGTACGAAAAGAAACAGTTAGGATTTTTTTATAATGATGCGAGCTCCGCGATCGCCCGCCGGTGGCGTAAGGGGCGAGGGGGGCCGGGGTGGATCCAGTCACGATTCACCAAAGAAAGCGCGCGCGGTCGGGGTACCGGGGCTACCTTCGCACCGTTCCCGGTTCCGACTCGCGAGCGCGAATCGTTTACCATTCCGCCATCAGTGGCATCCTGGTCTATTTGGCAGCGTCGGGGTCCAAGCTGGGCTCCGGGCTCCAGGGTCTTCCTGCATAGCTGGAGCATCTCCGCGGTTGCCGTATCAAAACTTATTGGAACTCGATCGACGATTGGGCCGTATCGATCAAGGCTAGAGTACCTATATTGAGAGAGTATGGCCACTGGGCCCCATGGAGAGGCTTAGGACCCAAAAATGGCGGTGCTTTGTTTTGGTTTTTGTGGATGGGAGGGGGGTCATTGCCAACTTTTGACGGTTATCACCAACCGCAGTTGCTGCCAACCTTACTACATCTAAGATAATTTTTCTCAAAAATTGCACACGATTAGCCTTAAAAATATGTAAAGATGTCGCAATAGTGCATTTGAGTAAATTTCTCGTTACGATAAGCAAAAAAAACTACATTTTGAGTCATTTAGCATTACATTACTTTATGGCGTCCGCCATTTTTGGGTCCTAAGGGCTCCATTTAGCCTAAGATGACTGAGCCAATCAGAGGTGGTAACCCCAGTGGCCATGCTCTCTCAATATAGGTACTCTGATCAAGGCCAATGGAAGAGTTCCGGTGATCGACCGAAAAGCCGCGAGGAAACTCGAGAATGAATGGAGACGGGATGACACCGAGAGCGGCGCGGCGGTGGGCTGCACGCGCCGGCCCGGCACGCACGAGGTGATGATGCGTATTTTTGGCACGAGTACGTAGTCTTTTGAAAATCGAGCCGGCGGAAAATTAGAGGAGAGGCGTACTCGGGGTTTCATCTTGCATGGCAGCGTGTTATCTGCATATTTTGGTTTTCTACATTCACGTTCCACAATCTGTGGATAGATGGACAGGATTGCCACAGAATTTCAAAATTGAATTTCCCTGACACATTTTGGTAAAATGGAGATGTTGCATGTGTGAGGAATTTGAGATTTGACTGTTGATTCTTATGTAAAAGTTCGTGAAAAACACAATAGTGCCGCTGTTTTTCTCTGAAAACAACTCCCAAGCTCAAAAAAAGCTCTCAAGTTGAGGTTAAAATGGAGGGGATATCCCACCCTACCCAGAGAGTCCACATCTACATCAAGACAAACTCACCATGCACAGATAGGGAGCAAACACATTGACAGGGCTGCCATTTTATTTGGGGATTCAAAAACTGAAAACACGCCAACCCTGCTAATGTATTTGCTCCCTATCTTTGCATGGAGAGTTTGTCTTGATGTAGAGGTGGACTCTCGGGGTAGGGTGGGATATCCCCTCCATTTTGGCCTCAACTTGAGAGCTTTTTTTGAGCTTGGGAGTTGATTTCAGAAAAAAACCAGTAGCACCACCGTTTCTCGCGAACTTTTACATATAAATCAACAGTCAAATCGCAAATTCCTCACACATGCAACATCTCCATTCCCTGAAAGTTGAAAATATGCCAAATGGTTAAAGGGACAAAATTTTACATAGTTTGCAGGCAAAATTTGTTGTCTGAAACGCTGAACCCATTCTGGAGAGCAAATAAGGTTGGCATGAAATGTTTTTCCCTGTCACTTTCGTCATTTTCCCTGACATTTCCAAATTTTCCCTGACTTTTTAAAATTCCGACATTTCCCGGTACTCACTGCCTGTGGCAACCCTGGATGGATTATCCGTGGGGCTAAATTACGCAGGTTAGGGGAAAATGAAGCCGAAGAAGGCATAATTAGAACGGCCGGGATGGAAGCGAGTTGCAAATATCCTCTTTTTTATGAGAAAAATGCTAGGAGGAAATAACAGTCTTAACCAATTGATGACAAACTTGTTGAAGGAATCTGGAAGATTTCGATAGCCTTTGGAAAATTTTAAAGCTACGCATGTAACCTCCGGAACAAATGTTTATAGCCTCCATCATATCTTCTATATTCTAATAAAATCATTTTTAAGACGCTCGATGGACGGGGCGAGGAAGGGGAGTAAGACGGTCGATGGGCAGGAGTGAGGAAGGGGAGTTCAAAGGTCAGAGTTTTAATAGAGTGGGTCTTTAATTTCAGAGACCTTCGTTTAGTCATTGGGAGCTATATGTGGCCCTGTCAAGATCAACTCCAAAAAAAGGAATCAAAATTCAGAATAAGGAGAAAGTGAATAAGAATATTGGCTGGCAGGAAATTTTTCTTTGAGACATCGTTTTGTTGTTCAATGAAAATTATTTGCTCATTAACCGCCGACGGATGATTTCCGATTTTGTTGGCCGCGAAGCGCCCTGCGGGTTGGGCCTCGTAGCGGCTAGGGGGCAGAGCCCTCTTGTAACTGATAATATATTCTCGGATTTTTGAAAAGTTTCAGAAAATTCCAAGTGTGTGATGGCTGATGGCGTAGCTCATGGAGCTAAGTTTCACATTAATGGTTATCTCAACTCAACGTTTAAAGGGAGAGCTGATTGTGAGTTTTATTTTTCTTCACTAAAATGCGAGATTCACTTCCTACTTAGGTTCCCTGGTAAAAATTGGCAGTAGAATCTGTGTTCCAAAATACCATAGACCTACAGCTGGCTGTAAGATTTCCAATAGCTTCTATAGCCGGCAAAAAAATTTCTTATAGCCTTTTATAGCCGATGGTGATTAAGCAACAGCCTGACGATAAAGTGTACCTATGCTAAACGTTGCTAATTACGGATGCTAGGACTTAGTGAGTTTTTTGACTACCGCTCTCTTTTTGGGCCGTAGTATCTTGACTTATTTTGCGAGGAAAGCTCCGTACTTTTGAAGGATGCCTGCCATTCCTAACATGTTGGAGCGCCATGATACTGTGCAATACCTCTGGTGCGAAATAGTTGCTTCAAGCGCCGTGGTTCGCTGCGGCGCGGCGGGCGGGCAGCCAGCGCGAAACGCGCCTACAAACCTAACAGGGATACTTCACGCATTGCGCAGGGCGTGAAGTATCCCTGTTAGGTTTGTAGGCGCCAGTGCGCCGCCGCTCCGCCTTGTGTTCGGCTCTAATATTTAATCTCATGAAGTCAGCGTTTTTCAACTCATGACTTTGAAATGTTTGCACACTCTGTATGGATTATTCTCATTTTAAATTATGAAAAAAATATGTAGTATAGGAAAATATAATATGCGTTTTGTAAATATTAAGGTGATTCCGTACTAACTTAAGGATTTGCAAAGCACACGAATTTTTACATAATTTCTTATAGCCTTTTATAGCCGATGGCGAAGAAGCAACAGCCAGGCGATAAAGAGTAAAGCCCGGCGATAGGAACTATAGCCCGGCTGTATAAATTTTTATCGCTTCGTGTAGCCTGGCCGTACGATTTTTTCCACTTCCTACAGCTAGCTATATGATTTTCTATCGCCTTCTTCAGTCGGCTATAAGAATTCCTATGGTATTTTGAAACGCAGTTCCTATCGCCGATTTTTACCAGGGTTCGCCTTCAATTCCTTCGTGTAGGCAACGAACACATCAGGGAGCGCAAATAATTGTATTATTTGTTCGAAAAGCACACATTTATCACGCTTCATGAGATTTGAATGCTTCGATTAAACAGGGTTGTGAATTTTGCATTCCATTGGAAACTTCTGAGGGAACTGCAGTTTGAAATTTTTAAAATTTTTGTTCGAAATTTAGGAGTCATGTCCCCAACTTTTGAACTGGATTTCATTCCGCAATTACGAACTACAATTTCTGGCTTTTTCGTAAAAACGCTCTCATGTGCGTAAGTAAACTGATGGCACATACAATGTTTTCAAACTGAGCTAGAAACTATAGTTCCTAATAGCAAAATGTATTCAAACTAATAACTTCACAGTAAATCATTCACATGTGAACTGCCAACTTCGGCAAAACAAGAGTAATTTTTCTTCTCCTTCCTTCTACGGAAATCTTTTGTTTACACCTCATGTTTTCATGGCAGTTTCGTTATATTCATAATCAAGATTTTTTCATGCTCCAATTCTGTTCGCTAATTTTTGTCACCCTTAACGAGCAACGTGATTTAACTGCTAAGCTTTTCTCTGACATCATGAAGTTCTATTCTAGATTTACCTAGGTAATTTCTCATTGCTCTGACACCCAAAATCCGAATCTAAGAAGCATCTTGTTTATTTATATGCATTTGGTCGGTTCAATCTTTTTTAATGAGTGGAAATAGGTTTCTTTTTTAGTGGAACTATATTTTGAAACCATAAAAAGATACTTCTTTGAAATTTGACCAAATATAGCCATTAAAATGTAAAAATTTAGAGAGAATCTCTGCTAACCACAGAGTAAAACGAAAGAGGATCTAAAAAAAATTCTAAAAATAATTCATGATGAAAAAAATCAAAAGTTCATGAAGTTAGATACCGTAAGCATCCTTTTTAAATAGGAGAAAAAAGTCAAGACTCGCTTTCAATATCAGAGGAGTTGGAAGTGTTGACTTGCTCATGCTCATGCCTGTTACATACCTATGAAAATATATGCATGAGATTCTGTGTCCACCTTTGTAGTCACTTATATCTGACAATAAAAGTAAATGGTGAGACTTAATTTTTGCAGTACCTAACGTGAAAGCATTTCTACATTCGGTCTACAGCACCTACTTGAGCTGTAAAACTAATGCTTGGTTTTCCTAAAATAAAAATACCAAGTTGGCATTGAATGCTTGCTACAAGCTTTCATTTTTACGTTAAAAAATTTGTCATGGGAACTTGTTTGCAGTGAGCTTCTTGTACAATTTAGCGAGTTTGATGCGGTACCTTGCTACGGGCTTGTCATTTTCTTGCTCAAATCGAGGAACAACTACCTCATAGAAGATTGCGATGAGTTTGCAGGAATATTTTAAGCAATATGTTAAGTGGGGCATTAAGTTCTAGCATTCTACTTTGATTTTTTTTTTTTTTTTTTTTACAATTTCAAGTATCAATGAAACCATCAAATTTGAGTCACCTTGCTTGGAACCTTCTGACCATAGAGTCAGCACTACATCACAACCGCTGCAACACAGGTAGAGAACCTGTTGTAGGGAAAGAACTCTCTAGCTTTTACCATTGTCCATAAGAATTGGTCAAACAGTAGAATCATCCTAATGTCTAAAATATAATGCATTGTAGCTGCTTTTTTCTTATTACCTATTTATTAGTACTATTACTTGGATAATCAAAAAGGCTGTTCATAACTTTTTAGCTGACAACAGCAGTGGCAAAAGCTTTTTGTATTCATAACACATCCTAAGATTATACTATTTAATTCCCTTCTCCTAGAAAAGAAAAACAATGAATGAAATTTTTGAATCGTTAACGATTAATCGGATAGTTATTAGTTATGGATTAATCCAGAAAAGTTGGTTACTTTGAACTTAATTGATTGATTTAATTATTCATTGATTGATTTAATTATTCATTCTACTAGGTCAAAATAGTCTGGAGATAATGGTAAAATCATACTTAAGATAAGTTTAAAACAAAAATAATGAAACCTTTATTTTTTTAAAAGACCAAATAAAGACTTAAATTTAAAGTTTACATACATATTTACAAACTAAAATATGTTTCTTTGAACATACTTGGAAAAGCACTTGCTTTTAGAAAGAAACAGACAATAAATTAAGCACTTGCTTTCAGAAAGAAACACACAATAAATTTTTTTGACAATCTGATGACTAAAAACCTCTTCTCGTTTTTGTACTTCTGAAAATGCATTTTATCCAATCAGTTGAGATTTCAAAGTTGTACTTTCATTATCTGGGTTGTGCACTGTGAAAGTGAATGAATTAACTTGCATAAAACAATTGCAAAATAACATTTCAACTGGTATTTTTCTTTCCTTGGACTATGACACATTTCTGAATGCTACAAAATCTTTAATTTCCTGAGTAAATTTTAGGATAATTTCTTGTTTCCTTTCCTCCCATGTTTTGAATTCATTACCTTCCGGCCAAAGTATCACAAGCGCCATGCGACGTTTCATAATTTCCGCTGTCACTTTATTTTTTTACAGAGAAATTGTACTTAGGTTGAATCTGTTCGAAAATTTCACTAAATTTTATTGGTAGCACACAGAAAATTCAGTGAAATTTTCGAAAGCTTCATTGAACAATTTTTCTGTAAAAAAAAAATAGCAGTGGAAATTTTTAAATGTTGCATGGCACTTGTGATACTTTGGCCAGAGGGTGACAAACTTTCTTTTTAAGAATTCTATCATTTAAAGAAAGGTAGATTTACTTACTGAGAATTACAGGCGTAATATTTCAACCAAGTCACTACTATGGTTGCAAAAAATTGTTTAGGGAACACATATATTAATACCTATTGAAATTAACCATAACAAACTAGGGCAAAGAAAATACAGCTATCATTTAATTAATTCTGCTAGCTCAAGATAATTCAGGTGTTGTACCATTGATTTAACAAGCAACAAAAGCCCTATGATGAAGATTTAGTATGTCTGGATATTTAAAGATTTCCATGAAAGGAATAGGATAACTTCATAAAATGTGGATGTATACAAATAATTGATTATGAAGGCTAATATTTCGTTTGATGAGAAACTCATGTTACAGGAAAAATGTGGTGAAGTAAGCTTTCATAAAAATCAAATGTGCTAGCAAATGCATGAAGGGAGGTATGAAAGACTTTAAAAACTCATTATCACCCATGTGGCTAAAAGATTCAAAACAGTCTGATGTCAATCTGCAGTGACATTGAACTTTAATACAAAATTCATGGTACAATTCTTAAGGACTGAGAGCTATTCCATTTTTCTTAGTCATCACCCCAAATACCTGTAGAAGATTCCTTGATGTTGGCTTGATTCTCTCTCCGCCTTCTGGTGGTTGCACTAGCTTCACCTTTAGCTTTACATCTTTGCCTCTCTGCAACTTTGGCACGCTTCATGAGGGCTTTCTTCACACGGTCACGGATGATTTCAGGAGCGATTGTAGATGTGGTGGAAACACTTTTGAAGCTCGTGGCATAGGATGTAACACTTTCTTTGTCATCTTCTGGGCCGGGACAATATGCATCTTTTTGAACATGGATGTCTACCGATGGAGGGATCTCAGAATCTTCACATTTCTCATTTGTTTTTGATGATGTTTCAGTAGCAGTAATGAGAGAGGGTTTTGGTTCACTCTGCTGAGTTCCACCTGTAGTCTTATCAGGGCTATGATCTACATTAGTCGAAACTTGTTTGCTATTGACTTCAGTGTCAAGTAACAATGTCTCCACCTCCTTCTGTAAATTCTGGATTTCTTCACTAGGACTTTCAGGACTTTCCGAAGCATCATAATAACAACTTACATCAGTCAGATCTGAACATATACTTAAGTTGTCATCCTCATCTTCAGAGACTTCATCATCACTTTTACCAGCATTTATTATGGCAAGCAATTCTTCGTCCATTTGACGGGTAAAACCACTAGCAGATATCTCGACATCCATGATATCTTCTCGAGAGACATCATTAAAAGTTGGATAAAACTCACTTTCATAACCAAAACGGCGTTTGAAAAAGTCACGTATGCATGTGACATCTCGGTCAAAATACATCTGAGCATTTGGGTGTGAGGTAGAAACCATCTGCGGAAAATCGATGACAACTGGTGAACCATCATCTAGTACCATCAAGTTAAACTCATTGAAATCTCCATGAATGACACCATGATTTGCGAAACGAACAATGAGATCCATTAACTTATCGTAGAGTCCTTCTACATCTCCAACCTCGTAGACTCGACTCAGAGGATGACCATCTATCAGTTCCATGATAACGCAATGCCTGTTCCAATCAATTGGATTTGGTACAGGAAAACCTCGGTCTTTTAAGGCTTTCATGTAGGCAAATTCTTTGGTGGCTGAAATGCGTGATAAATACAGCCAGCCAGCCTTGTTCCGGTGGGCATGGTAATCTCGTTTCTCTTTTAAATTGCGGAAACAAGTTCTACCCAGTCTGTGTAATTTTAGACAAAGTGATTCACCCTCAGAGTTCCCAACAACATAAATGTTAGACTCTTTACCAACTCCAATTTGGTTACCAAAAGAGGAAACAACACCACGTGAAACAAGGGTCTTCAGGGCAAGGTAATCGTAGCCTGAATTCGTCAACCTGTAGCCGTCGAAGTGTTTCCCTCGTTCGTATGAGAGCAGGCGATTCTTGCACAATTCACGCAACAGTTTGTGAGCACCACCATGACGCAGATTTGCGATCGACGCAGCTAACGGACCCGGCACGAGTTCGTGGTTTTTCATACCCATTTCGATCGCGATTAGAACACGAAAGTCTTCTTTCGTTAAGTAACGCAAAAGAGTAACATTAAGTTTACCCATAGTGAGGAAATAGATCAAGGGTTTGTAGCAGACACAAGTGTTCAATAAAGACTCAAATCGATAAAAATTCACATGAAACCGATGAACAAGGCGTAAATTGTAAATGAAACACGTTCAACGAGTGAACAAAACACATGCAACGCGAGCGAGGTGAATGATAACATAACCTCAAAATCTACCTTCCATAGAGTAACGAAGAGGCGGCGCGGAGTGGATAGCGTGAGTTGAATACAACAAGCGACGTGGCGCCCGGCTGTCCTGCAACCAACATTACGGTACAGTGCTTGTTCGACGATGCCCGCATAATTCATTGATTCGAGTGTTGCAATTTTTATATTTTTCATTATTCTTCGGTAGAAACAAAAACCCTAATTGATATTGGTAATTCTACATTTTGTGCAGTTATTGAAAACCATTCAACATGTACTATGGAGGTACTGTAGTTAGGGGCCATCCATAAATTATGTGAGGCACTTTTTCCCATTTTTAGACACCCCCCCTTCCCCTTCGTAAGGCATCTCTTACCCCCCACTAAAATTACGTAAGGCTCGACTGGATCCCCCCCCCCTCCCTTTTTTTTCATTTATCACAGATCTACGCATTACGTTTCCTTTTAGAAAAACAATCAAATTTTTAGTCCAAAATTTTTATTAGTGAAACTGAATTTTTGAAAAGTTGAAGACGATATTTAGTAGAGAGGATATGAATAAAAGGCTCAAAGTTTAAACCTCACGAAGAAAAAAAAAAGTTTGTGGAAACCATTGCTCCAACACAAAAAAGTGGTTCTGTCCTGACTGTCTAAATGCTTGATCTACTTTTGCAAGTTTTGATCATAATTGAGTAGTATGCTCTGGTACAGTTTGTTCCCTTCATTATAAGTGGGTGGGGAGGGGGAGAGAATGAAATTTTTTAGTCTAATCAAAGTTATTTGCTTTGGAGGAGTATAATCATGTGAGCCTTACATTAGTAATGATGTATTTCACAGATGCGGTATTGATAAAATTCATCAACATTAATGCTGTGTGTATAGGATGTGCCTAAGCTAGAGCACCCGTATCAGGATTTTTTCTCCATTGCTTGAGAGAAATTATCCTTAAGGCATCCAAATTTATCATCCCAGAACCCCCTTGGTGGGTAAAAGGGGATTCTCCTTACTAATATAACCCTGAGGTTGGAACACTGCCCTAAACTTTTTTACCAGTTATACTTTACAAAACTCACTTTTGTTCTTTGTTCTTCCAGAAAGAGACAAATAATTCCCTAAGGTGAATTAACAGTAAAAAAATAATAATTCTCAAGCAAAATGACATACCTAAATTGACTATATTACTCCTTGAACTTCCACTCCTGTCTACACATGGGACACTGGTGATTTACTTGCTGAGAATGAAGCCACTTCATTATACAATGAATATGGAAACAGTGTGAACATTGACCCCATACTGAAATCAGAGGAATAATAATATTATATCAGAAGAAAAAGGTCAAAAGAATACATGAACGGCACTAAACTAAAATAATTATATTTTGGAGCTTTTCAAAGATCCATTCCGTGATCAGCTTCAAAATGACACATGGAGAGTGTTCTAACTTCACTGGGTGGCAAATGCCTCTGAAAAATTCACTTACAACATACCTACAGTATTTTTGTTTTGGATATTTTCACTTGTGTTATACGTTTTCCTCTCTTCATGAGTTACTGCTCATGTGATTTATTTTATTTTAAGTTTCACACTTTCTAACTTTCCAGAATGAAAATCAAGGACTTTAAAAGATTTTTAAGGGACTTCCATGACATTTTTGAAGTGCTCTTCAAGGATTACAAGTAAGAAAAAAAGAATTAATAATGATTAGTTACATTTAATAATTAACTATTGAATAATGATTAAATTTTTTGAAGCAATAAAATCGCGTAGAAAAAAAAAAAATATGCACAACAGTTTCTTTTTTAGAAAGGCATGGTAGGTTAATGATCCTAAAACAGCACAAAGCACAGGTATTACTGCTAGCTTGGTTCAAGTCTTCACAGGAATAGGAGAGGGGGAAAAAAAACATATCTTGTGAAACTCAAGGGTTTTCAAGGGCATTTGGAAAATTTCTCAATATTCAAGGATATTTAAGGACTTGAAAATTCAGGAAAAAAATCAAATGTATGTAAATTCAATAACTTTTCTAAACAGCATAAATTAACCCTGCTATCACCAACATGATATCTTTCAGGAATTTTCGACTGGAAAATTGCATCATTGTTTTTGACACTTCAATTGACTGTTGTTCTTAAGATCTGAGAGGAGAGAGGATAAATTTTAACATAAGTACATGATCAATATAATGGTTTAGCCAGGTACCTTCTACCGAAGTTTAAGAAAAATTCACACCTATGAAGAGAAAATGTACAGCTACTTTTTCTGTTGTACAAAAATCACTTGTGTAATGATTCTCAGGGTTGCACCCTTTCGAAAATAAAATATTGATAAACATAATTTCTTGTAAGTAACGTAGATATTGATGAGTGTCTGTATTGGTTAATGAATTCTGAAATTGTTTCAGATTTTCAATCTGGCTAGAAGAAAAGCTGACTCTACGTATCGCCTTATTTTCTACCTACCAAAGAAGTTAAAATTCGCCACTTCCATAGATACAATTTTTTCGGCTTTTTTATTCATTTTGATCTTAAGTCCTGACTTATCATGGTTTATCTGGATTGTGGTAAACGTAATTGAAATCGATTTCTTCGTTTCTTATGTTTCAGTAGAATTTAGTCAAGAAAGATTGATTAACATACCGAGAGGACAGTCATCCCCAGGAAGTTTACAGTCAGGGCAGCAACCATCAAATGCTAGTCTACAGATACCACATGTATCGTCATTTGCCACCCAACGCCATGTAGCAACACCTGTCCAACCTGAAATTAGAAAGAGGAAAGTCAGATCACAAGGCTGGCGATGAGACAAAGAAAACAATAACTTTTTCAATTGGACCTCTCTAAAAGTGTTCATTTGATGCTCTTGAATTGGCAAGCTGGTCAAAATGACAAAACTATACAACTGAACTGCTTACACACAAATAACGCCAGTAACCATTCATTCTTCACATTTTCAGCATGATCATGCTGAAACTCAAACAAAAAAAACTAAAGCACACAAGCATAGCGAGTTCTCATGATAAGGTATTACGTTTAAAAAAGAGCAAAGAAAGCATGGCATTGAGTTACTGTTCCATTGCTAGGGATGGCAGATTGGTCAGAAATGCGGACTAGAATAAACGCTACAATTCAGAATTGAAATGTATACTTAATTCCAGATAGCATGAATGCATACAGATAGCTCTAGTAACACAATATAACAGGAAACCAAGGCTAAAAAACAAATGAAATGCCTGGGACGTTACGCGGTGGCTACAACCCCCTTTGGGACCAAGAAACAGAAATACAATGTATTTCATGAAAATCAGATGACCTCAGATACCCAATTGTAAAAACAAACGGAGAGGTTAACTCAGACGTCCGGACCCAGGTGTAGGGTGTAGAAAAGGGGTTTATAATGTTCTTTACTTCTGGAGGGTTTGGGTTCTCGTTCTAGTTCAGTTACGGCATTGGACCCAAACATGTAAAGTGGCTTACGGATGATATAAATGCACCTAGAATTGTCTCGTTAGAACTGACTTGGGATCAGTAACAAGTGTGAGTATACAACGAAGAAATGATAATGAAAAGTGAGTACTATGAATACTGAGATAATCAAGTGATAAGGGACTTACTACGAATTGAAATTTTCATATTCTTGCTGAGACATGGAAACTCTGATTACCAAAGTATTGCAATTTCTTCGGCTAACGATGATTCAAAACGACGGAAATGCTTAAATGATAAAATTAATGTTGATGGAATCCACAAAAGTTCAGGAAAACTCAGGGAAAACTCCTCAGACTCGAATTCGCAATGGCAATTTCGCGAAACTCAAATCAAAACAATAAGCAAGCATAGAGAAAGTAGAGGTGATGCAGCAAGAAACCAGAGTGGTCGATCGTCGATTACACTTTTGTGAAGCTAGCGCTACCTTTGAGCAAAAAAGAAACTATTAGGTGGCGGCAAAAAATGGCGGCAAAAGATGGCGGGCTTTTTGAAAAGAACGCGGGAAATTTGAAAAGTCGCAACCACTCCTATGTTGCGCTGTGTGTCATTTTTGGCAGAGTTGCAGAGTTCAGGTTATTCTTTGAGGATCATAACAATCTCTAGAGTAAAAAGAAGAAGAAGAAGAGGAGAGAGAATAGAGGAAGAAGAGAAAGAAAAGGAAGATGAAGAAAAAAGGAGGAAAAAAGAGGAAGAAACAGGAGGCAGAAAGAGGAAGATCATGAACAAGAGAGAAAGAAGAAGAAAAGAATAAGAAGGAGAAGAAAAAGGTTGAAGAAGAGAAAAAGAGGACGAGGAAGAAGGAAAGATTAACAAGAAGGAGAATTCAGGGAAGTAGGAGAAGCTAAGAGAAAGAATAAAGAGGAAAAGAAAGAAGACCAAAAAAGAAAAAAAGAAATGGAAGAAGATGAAGAAAAAGAAGAAGAAGAAGAAAGAGAAGAAGATGAGAATGAGAAGAGATAAGAGCAAGGGAAGAGAATGAAAAGGAGGAGGATGAAGAAAGAGGAAGAAAGAAAGGCACATGAAAGCATAATAAAAAAAAGAGATTAGATACAGACGTGAAAGAAAAGAGAAAAAAATGACCGAGAAGTGCGAAATAGTAGTAAATTGTGAAATTGCATGTGTATTCGGAACACACTCTAAAATAGCTTTTTACCAGACTAAGAAAAATTATTTCCATTAACGCTGTGTCAGTTCACCTTCAATCTCAGAATAAGCACCATGCGCTCCCTCGTGGCCGAATAGCTGTATCGTCGTAAAGTGATAAGTCTCTCGGTACACATTCAAAAAATACTTTTTATCGAACGGAAAGACATTACTTTGACACCATGTCAGTTTACCCATAAATTCATAAGGTAGGCAATACGAGCTTCCTCGTGGTTGAATAGTGGTATTATTCTGAAATGACTCGCTCAATCGGGACACATACAAATGAGAGCTTTTAACCAAGTAGAAAGAGCTTACTTAAATCCATTTCAGTTTGTCTTCAATTTTTAGTGTAGGCAACACAAGCTCTCACGTGGTCGAATAGTGGTATCATCCCCCGTCTA